TTTCATGACCTCCTCACTCTGAGTGATTGGACCTATTCATATCCCCTCCACCATGTGTTCAAGACTTTCAAACCCTGTAATTTTTTTCCGCCTCTGACTGTTGGGAGACAGAAATCTTTTCCCTTACGTGGACAGCGAGTTCTGGGTAAACACGGTTGTCAGGTTGCTAGCGGAGGCTCGTCGATGCAGTTCAGCGGCTGAACTTTTCCATAAAGAGCTTCTCTGCTTTTATCTTCAGACGCCACTAAGTGCTTGTCTGTGGCAGAGCACTGCACACTCGCGCAGTTTAGATCGGTTCTCGGCTGATTTGACTGTTTATATGATCATTTTAACCAACACTTGGCTGCTATGTAGTTCTGCTTCGCCTCAGCTGAGAGCTGAAAATGAGAGAATAAGCACTAGAAATGTTGGCGCTCATATAATCCTCCAGGATCAGATTGGTTGTTTCTGACCAAGAAATCTATTTCCGCAGATGGCGGTAGGACCACAGGGAGGAGGCAGAGGAGCTCATATTACACTGTCAGGTCATAGTGACAGTTTAAACGTACCGGTAAATGTACCTTAGCTGTATAGACTACAGCTCAGATCCAAGTCTGCATATTTTATTTTCCTGCAGCCTTTATAGTTTTATGTGAAATATAAAGGAAATGCTGGAAACACGGAAAAGATGTAATGAAGAACAACAAAAAAATCCCTCCAGTATGGCAGAACTTTGGAGGAATGTGGAAAAAAGTAGAATAAAAACCTAAATATGACAAACAAGTGATGCTAAATTATGTTATATTAACGTAACTATTCAAGAAGAGTCCAATCTAAAATTCATCCGAAACTTTTTTTTTCTCTGCAATAGGGTGAAATCTGTCTCACCAAACTTTTTGTTGTGTGTCAACTGAACAATGAGTCTTCTGTGTGCATCAAGCCGTGCATTTCCCTCGAGGCTTTACATAGCATGTGGTGTAAACCTCCAAGTAGGTTTAGTAAATACGTGTCTGAGTGACAGAGGTTTTCTTCTCGGCACATTTTAAGCAGATTTAGTGCTGCAGGTCTCAGCAGAGACGCTATCTTTATAACCACAGTCTGCCCACAGGGCGTTTTTAAAATGTGTACGCGCGTCTGGGTGAGTGAACTCTGACAAAAAAAAGTAGTAGCCTGTAGGCACAGGTTTTAACACCTCTGCAGTATATCACTTGGAGAATATACAATAAATACCTTTTTTGAGAATTGACAGCCATACTGAACATGAACACCGTCTCTCTGTTTTTTTTTACTTGAGGGCTGGAGAAGAAGAAAAAAATATTGCTCTGATTTTATTACCCTGGGCTTAATTAAAGGGAGAGAGGTCATGCTACCCTGGGTGTGCCTGTGGTCCCTGTGGAAACCTCTTTGCCCACATTTCTGCAGGTCCATTAGAGACGAGCTAAAAGGTGGGGTCACCGTGCCTCCACATGTACCGCTTGCAGGCATGCACTGACTCTGCAGCAGCTGGAGACCACACCCTGAACAAACACACCTGCTGCCTGTTGTGCAGAGCTGAATGGGATTCAAACAACTGAAGATTTTTATGGTCATTGAGAAAATAAATGCTTTGTTGCTACTGCAAAAGTGAGGTAAAAAAAAAACACACAAAAAACACAAACAATCTACCAAGTTTTGAAAATCTGACAGAGGAATTGAAAATCTGAACATGAAAAGGGCAAAAAACAAATATTAGGGCATGGCTGGTCACTGATACTGACTGAACAAGGAAGAAGAAGCCAAACGGCATGTTCTACCTCTGGAGGAGCTGCAGAGATCCACAGCTCTGGTGGGAGAGTCTGAAGTTGCTGCTTGATGTTGAGAATGTAGTTTGTGGAAGAAAATTAAATGGAAACAAAACTGAACTTTAGTTCCTACATGCAAAACAGAGTGATGGAAAACCAACACTCCACTTCTCCCTCTCTGAAATCAATGCAAAAACATCTAATCATACCAAGTACTTTATCTGGTTTCAGTACAAACATCTTAGTGCACTTGAAAAATGACAGAACTACCTTACAAGTCAATTTTCAACAAGATATAGGAGCTTGTTTTCAGTCAATGATGATTGAATAAAGATGAAAAGTTCCACTGGTAGAGCTTTTTCACATACAACAAGTCCTTTTTTCCATGTTATAAGTTACATAATCTGCCAGTGAGTAATTAGTAATAATAATAATAGTAATTTTAATCTATATTCAAGAGTTACTGACTTAAAACCAGCTCCTGTATCTTGCTGAAAAGTTACTTAAATTGTGTTGTGTTGTATTTCAAGTGTAGTAAAATGTTTGCACTAAAAACTAGACCAAAGATATTTGGTAAGGCCTGATATGTGGTGCTCTCTATGGTAAAGCATGGTGGTGGCAGCATTGAGCCATTCAAAAATATATTTTTAATGGTAACAAAATTAGAAACTGTGATAAAGTTAAGGGACTCCGACTACTTTGGCGAGTCACTGCTTGATCACTGCAGATTAGGAGCCTTGTGTTGTGCTTTCTGAGATCTCCTGATGCGTGACGGTTTCAGTCCCAGTGGACCCCTACGACATCTCAGACAGACACACCCGTCTGCAAATGAACACACTCGGTGTCTCACTGCTGGGTCCGGCCTGTGTGGATCTAAAATATTTAACACTAGGCTGTGTCCGGCACATTTAGGGCTGCCTCATAACTGCAGAGACAACAGAAAATGCATTTCAGGTCAAACATGAAAGAAAATCAGATACTGATTTGGACCAGGGCAAAGCTGATCAGCAGATCTCTGTTTTAACAGATTGCGAAAAGTAAAAGGAATAAAGTTAATCATGGATTTTGTTTTTGTCATCCAGCAGATATAAAGCAGAACTTCTGAAAAATCTGTCTTTTATGTAGAGATGACAAAAATGGCGGCATCTAAACTCCACAATGTTTCAAACCATTTCTGTATACAGTCTGTGCCTTGTTTTACGTCTTTTAATGAACATGATCAAGATTTGCTTCACTGTCACCATGTTTGCATTTGTATTATACTTTCATCTGAAGGACCAATTTAGGCTTTATTTTTAATTTAGCTCTAAATTATTATTTTTGTCTTAATGTAACTATGGCATGGTTTTCCTTGGAACCTTTTAGTCCCAGAATCATCTCCAAGACTCTCTGAAACTGATCCACAGTCTTCGATCCATGTGGTTCTAAGTTTTCTTCCCGCCAGGTCATTTGCATCATTTGTGCAGCTGGAGGAAGGGAGGGCAGACTCCCCCCGTCTAAAGCACAGCAGGGGGGCGGTCTTCTTGTTTAAGACGGACAGCAGGTAATGAGCACTGACACAAACACACGAGGCATGCAGCCCTGAACTGCTCACTTCTTGTTTCTGTCCTTTTCTTCCTTCCTTTCATCCCCCACATCTTCGGCTGCATTCCTGACGTGCCTCAAGGAGACAAAGGGAGGAGCAGGAGAGAGGACTGCTTCGGGACTCCAGGACAGACAAACAACACACACAACCCAGCCACAATAGCTCGGGTCACAGCCATTATGTGTGTGCACTGAGGAAAAGGTCTTGGTGCTCGCATATCAATAGAGGAAGAGGTGTTGGGGGGGAGGAAGCATCATTCTGTGTTTTTCATGCAAACATTCACCCGCTGTTGGTTCAATTTCCCACTGCACATTTTAAGGCTACAGCCTTTTGGACCCTCAGACCAACACTTAAACTATGGAGGTGAGTCAGCGTTATGATTCAAGCTGCCATGGTAATAAATATCCAGCTCTCATGCTGGAGCTGATGGGAATGCATCCACATGCCAGGAGATGCTCAACGTCGATGCAACACTGACCTCTTCTGGTTTAAGTGCCACATGGCAACAACAAAGACCGTTCCTGTCTCTAGAAACTGGTTGGACATTAATTCTAGTTGGTCAACAACCAAACTCTAGAGTAAGACTGTCATCAGCTATGAAATATTAAGAATTATGAGCTAAGGTGCTTTATATTTACAACTCTGATCTTAGATTTTTTTTATTTATTTCAGACCCAAAATGACTGATAATGCATGTGGACTTATTTTTTCACACGTAACAATCTGCTAGATTGTTCGCTTTCCAATCGATTCGAACATTTGTTCCATTTGCAGCAGGTGCGGTTCGTTTTCACATTGTGCTGTGTCAAATGATCCAACCCTTAGACCAACCTGTCCCTCCCCTCGCCTGTGGTGGTGCTGCACCAAGAACCACTGATGGAAAAGGCACGAAAACCCCCTAATAAAAAGACGTGGGCACAACTTCCTTCTTCGCAAAATGTAAACAAAAATTAACAGGTGTCAGATTTTAGTGGTTTCAGGATTTTTTTTTCTGCATCATAGGCAGAAGACCACGAGCCATTTCTCATGCAAGAGCGAGACTCACATATTTGTTTAAGTTGTATTTACCCCAATTCCCTACGCTATAGTCCTCTTCCCATTTTGGAGCGTAGGAGCAGTCTCCAGTCTGCTTGCAGCCGATGCATTCGAACCACGCCTCGACCTCATTTCAACCAAACCAAGACTTATCTTTTTTAGATGAAACAGCATCAGCTGTTTTGGTTCGGAATCAGAGTTCAAACAAGCCACACTTTCTAGGCAAATGAACTAGAGTTGGATTAACACAGACTAAACAAGGCTGGTGTGAATGCCCCCTCAAAGTGTCAAACAGCTTCCCCAATCAACACTATGAATTAACAGTCGGCTGTATGTTTGCTGATCCTTCACAGCCTCCACTTCCTTTAGAGTTAGACTGTTAGACTGTCCTGATCATCATGGTAATAGATGCATAGGTCACATAGTTTATTGCTACATTAGCCGACTAATCCCTCTTCCTTACTCCAGCTGAGTTAACCTTGCGTTTCCAGAGTCTATCTGACTTGGCTGACTGCAGGATTACGGCTGCTGGAGAATTTATTATGACAGAGATGACCTTTGACATTAGAAGCTCAGCGCAGCAAGATTCAAGAACAACATGTAGACAAGTGCACACTCACCGAGGTGTAATTGGTCTTGCCCATGTTGTGGTTCTGGTTGTGGTTCAGGTTTTGGTTCTCTTGCTCTCTGCACTGCAGACCGGCCAGGTGTCTCTCCAGGGCCGCCCAATCCATCGTGGGCAGGGGTTCCTCCTCTACGCTCTGCTCCTCCTCTCTGTACTCCCGCATCGGACCCCCAGTTCCTCCACTTCCTCCTCCTCCACCATCTCCTGCTCCGCCACCATCAGCACCCCTGCCACTGCTGCGGCTCCCCCTGCCCTTACCGCAGCTGCGGTGGGCAGCTTTGGGAGTCTCTGGTCCTCCCTCAGCTGTGCTGGAGGAGTGGAGCTGGTTGCTCTGGTGCAGAATCAAATTCCCATTCTGCTTCAGTTCATCTGGGAAAGTTGCCGCGGCGGTGGCGGTGCGTCCTGCGGGGGCCGGCAGGGGCGGGACCGTCTTCACATCCTGGAATTCTTCGGCGAGGCTTAGAGCATTTGCCGACTTCCTGTAGCCTTCTTTTAGCCCGCTACCGATCACGGCACTCTCTTTGCTTTTGTCTTGACCAGGGGGCTGCGGGGAGGTGTATTCCTCGCCGTACTCACTCTCCCACTCCTCCATCACCTTCTTCTTGTACTCCTGGTAGTCCTCATCCTCCTCGTAGTCATCTAGAGTGCCCAGATCTGGGGACGGGGAGGATTTGTAGTCCTCCAGATTGGCAAGGTCAAGAGAAGGAGAGCAGGGTGTGACCTTGTTGGAGTTGGACTCTGAGCTGGAGCGACTGGATGCGTCGCTCCCCAGGTCCATGCCATCCTCTCGATAATCCTGTAAGATAAAAAAGGGGGGAAAAAAGAATGGAGATTGAGCATGAAATGCCTAGAAGTGGATGCATAGGAAAGGCAAAGGGAGGAAAAACATAAAAGGAGAATACAGGGAAGTTTGGATTAGTCACAGAAGTGTTGTGGTTTTAGACAGGCAACCACAAAGCACTTCCTGACTTGCAGGAACTTCCTTCCTCCTGCAGTTTTACAGACGTTTGTCTTACTGTACCAACAGCTGAACCCATGTGTTACTTATGCCATGTATTCTGAACAGAGTGGAAACCTGTTGCTGTTTACTGCAGGAAGCTTTGTCAGCCAATTTATTTACATATAAAACTTTATATTATGTCATTCTATGTATATATACTTTATATATATATAAAAAAATCAAAATCAAATTTTATTTGTATAGCACATTTCAGCAGCAAGGCATTTCAAAGTGCTTTACATCATAAGCACAAAAACACAAAGTCATGCATCATAGAATAAATAATAAATTGTTACATATTACGTTTCAATTACAATTCTAAATAAGTGTATTTTTAGTTGAGATTTAAAGGAAGTCAGGGTGTCTGCTGTTATATATAAACTATGACACTGAATCAATTCTGTTCTTAATGTTTCAGAACAGAATTTGGTAAAACTATGTTATGTTATTGACGGAACCGTGTTACCCTTTTATTCAGCATTTTATTGGTAATTGATCGAGTTGGATTTTCATTGGCTTTTATTTAAGATGCTTTTCTCCAGCTGCATGACGTCTAGAAACCCATTCTAATTCTTTTCCCTCTGAAGTGAAATAGCCTACAAACCCAGCTATTTGGAAAATCCTGGTCATGAAAACAGGGACAGTCAAGATGAGGAAACTAAGAGAGCACCGCCCCGCCGCTCTCATTAAGCCGATATGCTTTTAACCTTACAGTTTGCAAGCTGTAAGCCTGTTAAACAGCCGAGTGGAGGCTGGCTACTGGCACAAACAGTCTGTTCTGTATGGTATATAATTTTAAGTCATGGGGACTCACATCTGTAATCATCTCAGCCATTTCAGAAATTCCTCCACATTTTCCTTTCTTTTCCAGCCAAAGCTAAGTCTTCTACGGCTTTCTCTGTTAGACCCAGAAGGTCTCCTCTGAGACGTTCGGTTTTCACTCTTCTTCAGTCCTCAGTCATGGCAGAAGAGCGATTGCTGAACTTTGCTTATGAATACCGTGATTAGGCTTATGCCACTCTGTTTCTAAATGCATAGCAGATTGCTCGGAATGGCCTTGTGCAACATTTGACACAAACACGCGTCGTAAGGGAGGGGTCTTTGTGGCTCAGCGTGTCAGAATACCGCTCCACTGCCTACCGCTACATCTGCACAGCAGCACGGGGACTAAACAGAGTGTTATGAGCGCTGGGTGAGAGCAACGGAGAAATGATAATGCACAGCCAACTGTGGCACGAACAGGTGAGTCTGGAGCTGTTGTCTGACCTTGTCTGTGTTGCACCGGCGGACTGATTGGTGCACGACTAATGAAAATGTCCCTGTTGTTTACAACCGTCCACAAATCTCCACCAAACCGGAGCCTTTGATTGTTGCGATATTTCTTCTTTTTTTTCTTGTTTTGTCTTTTCTCCCCTCCAAAGCAGCGCATCTTCATCAGAATGTCTCACTACTTTTAATACCTAATAAAAAGCAAAGCACAGTCAAATTTCTCTCGGGGCAAAGACAAATTAACAACACATTCCTCTGTGAGCACATTATGAGCTGCTCTGCAAACTAATTAATTATAAAGCTTGCTAAATGCCGGTGTAGACCAAGAGGACGGAATCCGCTCTGCTTCTCAAGCAAGACCGAGCGGACGGGGGGTGTGGGGGAGGGTGGAACGTATAAGTGCTTGCCGTTATGCTTATCATCATAAACTTATAATAAGTTAGGCACACAAGATCACGCAGCTGCGTACTGCGAAAGGAAGTGCGGGAAACGTGTTTGTTGTGGGGAAGCAATGTGACTCAGCATCTTAGAGTCCATCTGAAAAGTGCTGATGGGATGTGGAATCATAAAGCCCTTCTGGGGAACTTGCATTTCTGCGAGGAACAAGTCGAAGGGAATGGACGTAAAGCTACTGCAGAGATGAGCCTGACATGCAAATGTCCAGAAAAAAAGCTTAAGTCCACTTTCAATATGAGATTTAGCCTTAGCCAGCAATATGTTAGTAGTAGAGAAAACAATGGCAGGATTTTACATTACAGGTTAGGTTCTCCGAGAAGTCAAGTGAGAATTTGGAAATCGTGTTTCAAATTTTTTCCATTGAGCTGTTTTAAAAATTCTACTCAGTTGAGTACAAAACATCCTGCGTTTCGCTAAAAAGCACAATGTTGAGGTGGTAACTGGTTTAGCAGGTCGATAAACCAGTAATTTCACTGATCTGCTTCTTCATTTTGTCCAGTTCACCAGATCAAGTGACGTGTCTCTTTTTTTATTTGTAATACTTACAGAAATGATGTCTGGATTTACATGCATTAAGAAAAATGCGTTTTGAATCGAATCATTATGATTAATGCTTTGTCTGGCACAGAACCAAACACCCAATTTAAAACTATAATCTAGGAGGGGCCAGATGCAAAACAAAACGGCCTGTCAGCTTAATGACAAAGTCATATTATAATCACAGACTAGTTTTGCTTTGGCACGCTGTCAATAAAAGATATTATCCTTGTAGAAATCAATGTCGGTCACTTAAAATGTTTTTTTTTCTTTTAGAAAAAGGGGAAAAAACATTTTCAACAATTAATTTTCATTTTTCTCCATATTTATCCAGACCTGGGAGAAAACAGGAGCAATAATCTGATATTTCTGATCTGCCACTTCTGACTGATACAGACTGCAGTTTCCAGAGAAACACGACCAGTAAAAGAAATCTCCTGTTTTAGCTGATTTTTTTCCCCCTTCAAACTGAAAATGCTAAAGCATATCACCTGATATTAAGCATCTTTGCCAAGCAACCGTTGGTAAAGCTGCCAGAAACAAACAAAAACACACAAAAAAACCTGCTAACACTGCTTAGTGTGTTTCGGTCGATGACATCACAGCAGACAGAAATGTCAGTCGACCTCATCGGTCAGAAAACCTCTGACTTTTGCAACATGAAGTCATTTGTTCAACCTAAATTTAAAACTAACGATGCTGCTGTTGTTCACCAAAAATGAAAGAAGGAAGAAAACTGAACAAACTCATGCAAGTCTTTGTCAGTCGACATCTGCCACTATAACATGTTTTTCCAGACCAAGTGCATCCATCTCAGTTTTGGCTGTTTGGATCAGGGAAATCAACTAATTCAGCAGAGTCCACTTAGCCAAGACCCAATGATGTATATGCACCAGCTCACATCTTTCTATTGCAGATAAGGGTATCAATATTGATAATACACTCACAGAATCTTAATCAAAAGAAAGAAGGAAATAACAGCCTCAGTAACAACAATTATCCCTTTAACCTCTGGGTGGTGATGGTGGGAGGGGGTAGACCCGGTGCAATTCAGCCTTCAATCCGGCCCTGTACGTGTAGAAGGAGGGTACAGAGAGTCAGAACCTCACCAATGCGCTCATCCGGCGTCCTGCCCGGTGGAACAGCGTGGTCACCAGCCCCGGTGGCGTGAGACCCGGTCTGTCATAGTTGGCTTTCCTCGCCCCGTCGGGCGCTAATCGCGTCTTGAAATCTCGCTCCACCGATTCCTGCACGGCGCTACCCTCCGACACCCGGAGCCTCGCCGCTCGACCAGGCGGCGTCTATCGCGTCAGTACGCCGTGGTCACATGACCCAAATAATGCAATCATTTAAAGTGAGGAGTTTACATTTATATCTGTATATATATGTAGAGAGAGAGAGAGCCGCCGAGATAGACGGCGCGAGACGCCAGCAGGCTGCACGCACGCGGAGCCGCAGAGCTTGATCCGCTGTGGGATTAACCCAGACAGAGAGAGAGAAAGAGAGAGAGAGAGAGAGAGAGAGAGAGAGAGAGAGAGAGAGAGAGAGAGACTGTACACAGGCTGGGTTCGACCAATAAAATACATGCAAATTGACAGCTGCACTGCTATCAACCCCACAGCCGGGTGGGTGTTTTTTTTTTAAGTCAGGGGTGGGGGGCGTTTATTTGCAATGAGAAAGAATACTACGCTCATAAACGAGTCCTCCTCTAGATGGTATTTAAAGGGGCATCATCGCACACGCCCAGGCTGCCTTTCCATAGAGCTCACTCCAAAAGACATCCGAGACACGTTGTTATTATGTTATTAAGCATCTATAATTAACAGCTTTTTTTTTTTTTTTTTTAAAAAGAAGGGTTTCATTTAAAAAGGAGTCAACAATAAATATGCACAATCATGCATATCCTTCAGTGTAATGATGTAATGCCCCCCCGCCCCCCTCCATCCCTCCTCACCACCAAAAGTCCCAGGAGGAACCCGGCAGCGGCGCCGCCTGAAACGCCCTGTACCACCGACTCTGACCCCGATCCGCGCACCGCCCGTCGGTCAGCAATGAAGTCGCGGCAGCAGAAAGTGCTCCAAATGAACTGCTACTCACTGTCATCATCTCGACGTCGTCCGCTCCACGTCAAGACATTGCAAAGTGTGAATCCCAGCCGCTAGACAAACAGTGACGGCGCCGAGTTGTTTCGCAGCCAGCCCGGTTTTATTCTAAGGGCGGGCGGCGGAGAAATGACAGAGAGCCGGTGGATCGTTCGCAGCAGTCATCGCTGAGTGAGGGATAGTTGTTTCCAACAGAGGAAGCCACCAGAGTTAGCTCTGGTAGAAGAAGAAGAAGAAGAAGGGGTGGGGGAAATAACAGGCTTTGAAAGGTGTATATGTAAAATAATAATAAAATAAATAGAAATCCCGGCCGGTCGGCTTCCTCTCCTCCCCGGCTCGGAGACGCGGCGGAGCGGTGCCCACAATCCAGCGGTCCAGCCTGCGCTCCCTCCACGTCAGCTGGGGGGAAATAAATAGCCTCCGTCTGAGTGA